GAACCATAAGAAGATGGAAATTAATTTTTTTAAAAAGCCAAATTATTATATTGACTCCAGGTCAACGACAATTGATGTGCTTCCCTGCCACTGAATTCATTATTGGCGACAAACTTTCAACAAAGTGATAAGAAAGATGGACCAGGCAGTTTCTAGGAAAGAGTGACAGTGATTATATATGTAATATTTGAAACTTAGTTTTATCTTTCCTAACTCGTTTTTTCCATTCAAATCCACTGGATTCCTTATATCATCATGCAAGTTGTATAAACTACGAATTAGAATTCCACCAAGCAGCAAATTCTTTTTAAAAATGAATAACTGTAGAGAAAGCTTGTTAATTTAAATTTCTATATACCGAAGAAATAGCTATGTCATAAAAGAGCATGTAAAAACGTGGCAACATAAAAATTTCATTATTTATCAGGACAACAACCTTCTTCCAACAATAACCTACATGTAATCCAGTAAATCAGAGTATTTCGAAAACATTAAAGATACTAACCATAATACTAGTTTTACTTATTTGCAAGTAGCTTAATAGAAACACGAATTGTCAGTAACAACAACATTTTTTTTCTGAAATCTCTCACCAAGTTACATAAATTTAGGGAGGAAGAGCCTCTTGAAGCTCCATTTCTCCCTCAAGCATCTCTAACACATTCTTCATCGAGGGTCGATCATTAGGATACATCTGTATGCAATGTGAAGCTATTATGATCATCTTCTTTGCAATTCCTCTTTCTTCATCTGAGATATTGCGCCCCTCTATTGATTCCTCAAATTGATCATAAACCCATTTAGCAAAATAGGTCTGCCAGGAATGCTCAATGACATTCAAGTTCTTCCTTCTGCCAGCCATTTCCATTAGTAGCATCCCAAAACTATAAACATCAGCTTTGTGTGATATTCCTCCAATGTTCTTGTACAAGAATTCAGGAGCCATGTATCCAAGTGTTCCTCTTGCATTTGTCAGAGACACAATACTATTATCTAATGGGTACAACTTAGCCAATCCGAAATCCGAAATCTTTGGATTAAAATTTTCATCAAGAAGGATATTGTGAGGTTTGATATCAAAGTGTAGAATTTGCATATCACATCCTCGATATAAATACTCAATTCCTCGAGCAATCCCAAGAGAAATGTTAAATATTTTCTCGTAATTGATGGGCGTGTTGCTTTGTCTCTCCAAGAATATGTACTTGTCAAGTGATCCATTAGGCATAAATTCATAAACAAGAGCTCGCTTATTTCTTTCAGTGCAGAATCCAATCAGCTGCACCACATTGACATGATGAATCCTGCCAATAGTGGCAACTTCGCTTATGAAATCTTGTGCATTATTGGCTTTGGACTTTGTCAGTAACTTGACGGCTACATCGCGATTGCTTCGAAGCTTACCTTTATACACATAACCATAGCCTCCTCACCCAACTTGTGTTTGAAGCCATTGGTCATTTTCTTGATCTCTGAGTGAGAGTACTTGATGGGCATCAGGTTACTGTTATTTCGGAGGAAGTCCTCAACATTGTCATAATAAGATTGATGCCTTCTTTTCCATCGAAGAATCAAGAATATTAAAGCACAAGGGCCACCCAGTACAAATTTAGCTGCAGACCAGAGAGTTACTGTACACAAGATTTCAACAATAATAATCAGCATTGAATCAGTTCTTCCTATATAATACAGACTTACATTATAAAGATTGAATTCCTTGTTGGGATTCCTAACATATGGACTTCCCATTAAGATTTCAACAATAATCATCACGGATAATGAAATGAAGTGTTGAAGCGTTTTCCTATAGACAATGAGAAACTCTGGTTCGCTTACCTGTAGCTGTCACGCTCATAAAGAGGAGGGCTGCATTGTCAAAAATTCCAAAACATAATTAGTTTCTATTAAATCACCTGAGAGTAAATATCCTCGTTATTTTATTTTCTTTAATAGATTAACTATATTCCATGTGAACCATATATATCCATGAAGCTCACCGGAAATAAAGTCCGAAAGAGAAAATGCCGCATCCTGAGAACAAAGAACCATATTAGTGGCTTTTTCAAACGAACAGTTAGGTTGCCGCCCTCCGTCCCACACTCCACAACGATTTGGGCGCCATCTGACCTCAACCCATTTACCTCCTGCCTCTGAACTTGCGGATACGAACAACTCTCATTACACGTCATTGGTCCCCATGGCACCACCTTCACTATCAAATCTATTCTGCATGACTCTGGCACATCAGACATCATTGGGGAATACCGCTTCAGCACAAAAGGATGAAGCGTTTCGGGCGCTTCGTTATACAAAGCGCCACTATATCCGGATAGAGATCAGGAGAGAATGGATTTTGGCAGCTGACAAACACTAATCCTCCCACATAATCGAAGTGGTCATGCTTGGAGTTTAGTTCTGTCTCTTTGGCTGTGAAAGCTTGGCTGAAGTTATTGTATGTGAGGGAATGACGAGAGATCGCTGGGCAATTGTTGATGTCAAGTCCAGCGGTGATGGATTGGAGAGCAGTGGTGGAGTTAGTGGCATAAATGGCCTCTACTAAATGCCTCCCATAGTTTACATACAACACACTTCGTTATTCTCACAGACTAGTTCGTAACTTGGATCGCTGCAATTGCGTTTATAATAATATGTATCTGTTGAGGACGTTAAACACTTGTCCGCAGGATTCACTAAATGGATATCCGGTCTGGAGAAGTCTCTGAAAAATATGAAGCTAGAGCAAGGACTGCAAGGAAGATGATTACGAAGGCTTCATTTATCATTGTGAAGTACTGTCAGAGAAGGAAGAAGCTAAGCAAGCTACTTTACAAGCGGAGGTGCTAGCTAGCTTGATCCATACATCCCCTACCTTTAAAACAAAACAAGTGATGGATGCCTATGATGATAACTACCAATGATATCATGACAAAAAAAAAAAAAAAACTAATGATATCTATTTCCCTTCTTGCGTGAAGTTCAAGTAAAAATGTAGATAAGAAGGTCGCAAGAATTGGATAATAAAAAATAATTGCAAAATAAGAGTTTTAGTCCAAGTTCTGAGAATTTGTTTTATTTTTCTAAGTCTCCCTGAATTTTATAAGACTTTTGTATGATTTTTTTTTTTGGAAAAAAAATATGTAGAGTGAATCCAGATTTTGAAAGTTCGCTCCACTCGATACAATACCCAAGTGGGTTGACCCTGACTCATAAGTTTAGGTGACTTTGAAAAGTCATCCTGCCATAGTGCCATTGATAATTACAAAAATCAATGATGGTTGACCTGGACTAAATGCCTTATCCTGATCCTCATCCACTAACACGGCACTTTAATTAAATGAGGATTTTTTTTTTAATTCCAGATCCATAAAATGAATATAGCTTACGTCAACTTAAATCGAATTAATTGAACTAAAAAATTATTAAATATAAACAAACTAAATTTATAATTACCTAAATTTATGAACGCATGTCGTAAATTTATATACATAAAAAATATTATATATGGATAGAATACTATCAATTAACATAGTATTTCCTAGCTAGTTGCACTTCGCATTGTTACATATTAAATTTCGCATTCTTAACATACCTTAGACTTCGAAAAATCAAACGGAGGATTTTGATTGGGTGAACAGTTCAAATTTTGTCTAGAGAATTACTCCTGTGGTGCTTGCTCTATGAATTAATTGAAGAGTTAATATTAGTACCATATATAAGACTTATTTTTATCAGTTTTTTCTAAATTAATCCTATTGATATTTTTTTCAATAATCATCAAGTAGGAGAGGGAGGGAGGAAATTAAGAAAGACGCTTAGGGTATTTAAAAAAAAATCATATTAACTGAATTAACTAACACCGTTGATCTATTCAAATTAGAACCGGAGGAATACTATTTTGGAGTAATCGTGAATTTCCAGATTGGACCAAAAGAAAAATGAAAGTTTATAAAAGCCAAATCATTGACTCCAAGTCAACGAAAATTGATGTACTACCTTTGGTCCTTGACATAAAAGTTTGTTAATTAATTTAAGTAGATTAAAGAATTTTGTTAAATTAGTTTATTATAATAAATAGGTATTATTTTTTCTAAAATATCTTTACTAATAAAGTTTCATTTGATGAAACATTTGACATATGCAATTACGACAAAAACTATCTTAAAAAAATAGATAAATATGAGAGACAAAGTAAATTGAGATTTTATATTTAAAATTAAACTAAAAGTCAAACTAGTTTTTACATTAAGTACCAGAGAGGTAGTATATTAAGACCGCTTATTATTAAGAACAAATTTTCAACAAAATGACAAGAAAAGTACTCCATGAAGCTTCCAAGGAAAAGAGGGCAATAAAAAAATCGCCCCCACCGTATTGACTAAATTCTAAACCTCAAATCTTAAATGACATTGTATTTTTTAAGAGAAGGTAATAATTTTTCCTATCTCTCATTTTATTGTGGTCCCATTCCATCAACGATCCCATCACTGTCAATCAATGCAAGGAGTTTCCTCGACACGAAGGAAGATATAAAAGCTGTAACCAGGACTAGCGAGCTTTGGTATAGAAATTTCTGGAGATCAAGTGACATATAAATGTTTCGCTGAAAAATTCGTTACTTCAGCTAACGTAACATACCCGTTTTCTTGGCCAAGAAACCAATCACATGAATATTGAAAATAGTGACAAGCCAATTTTTCAACTTAATATGTATCAAACTTTATAACATTTTCAAATAATTACCACAAACACAGTCTAAGCCGATGAGCTATACAGCAACAACTTAAGCGCACTGATATTATTATTGAAGAAAGTCATAAAAACCAGTCATCTCAATTAAAAATGTAGAAGTCAAAATTGTTCAATAATTTTTGTGTTTGTACGTATCTAGCTATTTGCTAGCTGTAAAGCTTAGCTAGTCAAGTATTAAATGCAAAAAATACTATAAGGAGATGTTCAAAATACTAACTATGCATTAAACTATTATTAAAGATTTACAAAGCTCATTCTGAATTCAAATTCTTCCAATTATATATCAACAATTCAACATCCCCTTTTGGAATCCCTTTCCAAGTTATAGAGGGTTGGTACGGTGGAAAAGCCACTTGGAGGTCAATTTCTCCCTCGAGCATCTCTATCACTTTCTTCATTGAGGGTGGATCACTGGGATTCATTTGTATGCAATGTGAAGCTAAAACAATCATCTTCATCGCAATTTCCCTTTCCTCTCCAGTGGTACCACTCACTTCTATGGATTCTTCAAATTGGTCATAAACCCATTTGGAAAAATGGGTTTGCCAAGAATGCTCAATAAGATTCAAGTTCTTCCTCCTACCTGCCATTTCCATGAACAGCATCCCAATACTATAAACATCAGCTTTATGTGATATCCCTCCAATGTTCTTGTAAAATAATTCAGGTGCCTTGTATCCCAGTGTTCCTCTTGCATTAGTTAGAGATACAATGCTATCATCTAAGGAATACAACTTTGACAATCCAAAATCAGAAACTTTTTTATCAAAATTTTCATCAAGAAGGATATTGTGAGGTTTAATGTCAAGATGTAATATCTGCATGTCACATTCCCCCGTAAATACTCAATTCCACGAGCAATCCCAAGATAAATATTAAATATTTTCTCATAACTAAGTGATGAATTCCCCTCTCTCTCCTAGAATATATACTTGTCAAGAGACCCATAAGACATAAAATACACAAGAGCTCGCTTGTTTCTTTCAACACAAAGTCCAATAATTAAGTTGAACCACATTCGCATGATGAATCCTTCCAATAGTAGCAACTTCACTAATAAAATCTTGTCCATTGGATTTGAACTTGCTTAGTACCTTGACAGCTACATCACGTTTGCTTTGAAGCTTTCCTTGGAAGACATGACCATAGCGTCCTTCACCTAACTTGTGTTTGAAGCCATTAGTCATTTTGTTGATCTCTGAGTAGGAGTGCTTGATGGGCATTAGGTTACTATTATTTTGAAGGAATTCCTCAACATTGTCATAAACAGAGAATGGGAAAAATATCTAACTGATGCTCTTTTTTCTGTAACTGTTATTGGTTTCGCTCTATAACTAACTAGGGCAAGAAATTTAATAGTGTGACAAATGAAATTGAAGGACAAGGAGAAAATTAAACCTTGAATAATCGTCGCACGCTCAATAGCAAAACCTGCACCGTCAAGATTCAGAAGTTTCGACCAGACCAATCATGAAAACAATTGTTTCAATTTTTTCTTTTCTTCTCAAGAATACCATGATAATTAGCTATATCTGTGCCGTTCATCACCTCAAAGCATTCTAAGACCCAGCAGCGGACGATGACAAAGAACCATATTAGTGGCATTTTCAAGCAGTTACCTTTGTCTTCTTCCCACTCGCCACAACGATTTGGTTGCAATCTGATCTCAATCCCCTGTACCTCTTGGCTCTGAACTTGTGAATAAAAATAGAGTTAACTGGACTTTGGCAGCTAACAAACAGTAATCCGCCCACATGATAATGGTAATTTTTGGTGCTTAGTGAAACATCCGTCATTTAATATATATTTAGAAGCGCTAAGATCCAGCAAATCATGAATTAAGCTTATGTATTGAAAACTTCTATTTTTATTTTCGGGTTACCATTCATGCAGTAAATTTCAGATTTTTTACCTAACTTTAAAAATTTATAACTAATTATAAAAAAATCGCATTGAAGTGATTCAAGTCTCAAATTAAAACTCCTTTGACTCTCTACAGGGAAAAATATTCATTGTGTTATTTACTTGCTCATTTATTATATTTGACCTTCGAGACTTTACTATAGCCTCTAACTTCCTTGTCTCTTGGTCGCAAAAAACTCTCTCTTTGCAATTTGACTTCTAAGAATCATTCTATTCTTTCAGAAAAATTTCTGGGACTTTTGCCAAAAGGAGTTTGGTAACCTACTCATTTCAGACTATTTCTTGCATTTCTATGCTTAAAATTCGGGATGTTACACTTAGTTATCTTGTTGTTTTATGTGAGAGAATGGCGAGAGATGGCAGGGCAATTGTTAATATCAAGTCCAGCGGTGATGGATTGGAGAGTAGTGGTGGAGTTAGTGGCGCAGATGGCCTCTACTAAATGACTCCCGTAGTTTAAATACAACACAGTTTTGTTGTTCTGGCAGCGTAGTCCGTAGCTGGGGTCGTAGCAATTGCGGGAATAAGAGTGTGTATTTGTGGAGACGTTGAACACAAGTCCACAGGATTCACTAAATGAATTCATAAAGAAAACTTCATTCATATAGTAGACGAGTAGAGCAAGGGCAAGGAAGATGAATATGAAAGTTACGTTGCATTTATCATCGTGAAGGATATCAAGAGAGGCAGAAACAGATTAATTTCCAAGCGGAGGTGCTGGATCCATACTGGCGATTTTCCTTCTTGCTTGAAGTTGAAGTACAGATGTAAATGGGATTTATTTTTAGTCTTTTTCTTAATGTTCACAGTAATTGTATCTATAATGAAGAATTAAGAAAAAATAGTTAGTCCATGTTTTGAGAATCTTTTTTATTTTTCTAGAATTTTAGAAGATGTTTATATGAAAAATTGGAATTAAAAGAACAGAGCGAACCCAAGTGCGAATACAATAATTAACATCCAAGTGGTTTGACTCTAATTTTGTGCGGATTTGAGTCATTCTGCATTGATAAGCAAGGAAATCAATAACGGTTGGCTTGAAGTCAATGCCTCATCACAATCCTCCACCAGAACCACTCATAATGATGTGAGAATTTTATTTGATTACAGCTCCATAAAATGAATACAGATTTTGTTATCCAACAAAAAAAAAAAGACTATAGATTGAATCGAAACAAATACCTAAATTGAATTAATTGAACTAAAAAATTATTAAACAGAAACAAATTAAACTAAACTTTTAATTATTTAAATTTATGAATGCATTTATTAAATTTATATAAATGAAAAATGTTATACTTTCGTGTTGGCAAAAACAAATATTTATTATACTTTCGTATGTATATTAATTATTTAAATTTAATTGAAATAAAATCAAGAAGTTTCTGCTTCCAGTCATCAACCGTTGATGTGTTATTGATGACAAATTTTCAATGAAGTGATAAGGAAAATACTGAAGGAAGTTTTCAGGAATCGAATTTCTAAATACGTAATAGTTTTCGTTTTTCTTAATTAAAGGAAACAAATACAACACGAAAAATTAAGGCAAGAAAAGGGCAGAGAAAAAAGGGGAGATTGTGGAGAGTGGCTGTGTGGTTTTACAGTGAAACTGGAGAAATGTGACATTAGACAGGCCGAAGCTTGGGGGATTATTGAAGGGCTACTGTTATGCAGGCAAATGGGTTTCGAGAAGATAGAAGTAGAGTGTGATACAGATCAGATAATCCAAGAAATCAAGCAAGAGGCTAGAATTAAGGGCAGTTACTTGATCTCTAGAAAACTGAAGGACCTTCTTAAGTTGCAATGGCAGGTTGAATTTAATCACGTCTTCAGAGAGGGAAATCAGGTCGCCGATAAGCTTGCAGCGATGAGTCATGAGATGAAAGCAAGACGCCTTACTTGGGCGGCCCCACCTGGCTGGATTGAAGAACTCGTCAAGATGGATGCGTCTGGCTTTGAAACCCTGAGAAGAATAGTTGTCAGGTAATGGTTGGGCTTGGCCCCTTTCTTTCACAAAAAAAAAAGAAAAGGGCAGAGAAAAATGTGTTCACAATTCTCCCTCCCCACTTTCTCTCCACCATTGGATTAGTCAATCGTTAGATTGAATATCCTATAAAAATATTATTATAATATTATACAAAAAATTATGTATAAATAAATTTATGCATTTAAAAATTTAACTTGAATAATTTAGAGTTGCTATAAATAAATAAGTTTAAAGTATTAAAATTTGATTTAAATAAGTCACAAATGTAAAATTGTATTATAATACTTCTTTTAATTTCATCCTTAGTAAATCATAATTGTTAAATTTTAAATATTTTAACTTATCTATAAATATTTTTGTTATTTAAGTTTTATGTGAGAACAAGCTTAGATTTCCCCACTGTTAGGTTGGAATGCGCGAAAGAAGCTTGTTTGACCTCTATAATCAGCACTGGAAGTTCAAGGATAAGCTTGGTGGGCCCAGATACAGTAGAAGAAATAGCATGTTTATTCTTTTGTAATCTTCATTGCCCTTTTTCATAACAAATCTTACATTACTAATAAAAAATTATACAAATAATTAAAATTTTACGTTTTTTACTTAATTTACTAGAAGCAATATGTTCTAGGCCATAAGTGCTAAGCTGTCAAGGTAATTACAGGGTTATCACCAAGAAAGTCATAGAAAGATCAGCAAATAACAAATGATATATATAATGATTTTTCTTTACAAAGCAATATTCTTAATGTGGGATTCGATCGTGGATACATTTTTTAGCTTAAAACAATGGAGGAACCTGTTTCCATGTTTGATATTTCGACTTAATATACAATTTAAAACTGGGAAAACTAAACCCTAGGTCCTTATAGTGAGTTTTGAATCAGGTCCTTACATTATTTTTTCTTTTTAAGAACTCCTTATAATTTCAGCCTTTAGTCACATTGATCCTTCCATCTTCAAAAATGTTAGAAAGACATGATGACGTTAACTTCAGTTTAACTAGCTGAAGTGGGGGACTGTTCATTGACTGTAAAATGAGGCACATGCTCCACAAACAAGAACATCAAGGTATTCACCAAAGAGCATCTCCTTATCTATCTCCCCAAATACATCGCTGATCTCTCCCACCAGTTCATTTGAGACAGAGGCTACTTCACTCTTGTCATGCCTAGTAAATCCTTCAATGATTTCAGGTCTGTCTCATCATACATGCGTGTCAGCAAAAGAGTAGCATATGGGGTATTATGGGCAAGTAGGTGCTTGTACCCTGTAAGGAAATGGGCCAGTCCACCCTTGGTGGATTGGACCCAAGCCCAAATTAACATTTGGGGTCCTGATGAGAATAGCAAAAATTATGGGTATCTAACTGTAATTTTTTCCTTTTCATATATTTTGCCAAAAGGCGGGAACGGTTGCGCAGAGGAGACGGTTTTGAGACGGTTTTTGTTTGAATAAACAAGGAGTTACGAAACTGATCAAAAAGGGATCAGTTTTGGGCAGTAGAATCATGCGTTTTTTCCTCCTCTACAAGACTCTCTCTCCGTCTCTCCAAACTCTCCCTCCGGTGTATTTGCTGTGTCTCCCAGATCCGACTCCGTCACCGTGATCGGACCTCCGCGTGGCAACCTGACTTCATAGCAGACTTCAGGTATGCCCGAAATCCTTCATTGGTATCAGAGCATGTGATATTCCCTGTAGATTCTGTGGCCTGCGTTTTCATATCAGTATTTTTTTCTGATTGTTCGGTCTGAGTAACTTGCGATTTGCTTCAATATATTATGCAAATCCTCCATTTTACTTTTAGTATGATAGTTTTTGTGTCTTATATTTATGTTTAGACATATTGGGTTGCTTCTCTACCTCTGTGAAAATCGTTTTATACAGTATTTTTTTGGCCGTACGCTTGTTCATTTTTAGGTTGCTTAAAATCAAGTTTTTAGGCTTCAAAATTTATCCCATTGCGTAGAGCTCGAAAAAACGAAGAAAATGATATAAAGTACACTAAAAATAGACACCGGACGGCGGAGATACGGAGGAGAGAAGAAATCGGGTCCGACGGGTCCATCGGACCCAACCCGGTTGCAGAAGCCGAGTCAAGACGACCCGGCTGGAGGTTGAAGGAGACCTCCAGGGGCCAAAACGGTGTCGTTTTGGCCCCTCCTGTAAAAAAAAAAAAGGTATTTACTGGGCTGGACGTAGGATCCAGCCCAGACCAAAAAAAAAAAAAAGGGAAAGGGTGTACTGGGCTGGAGGCAGGATCCAGCCCAGACCAAAATAAATTAAAAAATTTTTTTTTGAAGGGAATCGGTTGGGCCAAAATGGACCCAAACCCAACCGGCCCAAAATACTTTTAATTAAAAAATAAAAAAAATAAAAACCGAGAATTAAAAAAAAAACGAATTTAAAAAAAAAAATTTTTTGACCAAGCAGCGCCACGTGGCGCGTTCTGCCACGTGGCACCCCACCTTGGCATGTGGGGACCACCACTTGACAGGTGGTGGCGCGTGGAAGCCGCAGGCACGGCGCGTGTCGCCAGCGGCAGGCTGCATGGGGGCGCGTGAAGTACACGTGCCGACAGAGGCGAGGGGAAAATAGTTTTTTTTTTTTTTTTTCAGTTTTTCGCTAATTTTTCCTTCTAGGGGCGCGTGTAGGGGTGAAGGGTCCGTTTGAGGTGAGGTTTGTCTCTAAAAATCCCTAAAATCAAGATCTTTATTTTGGTATATAATTTGATAATTTTGGAGACAATTAAGGATCTATTTGTGAGTATTTTCAGTGTATTTTCTGGTATTTTCATGCGGAAATAAATTCCAGAATATTCAAAATAATTTAAATTATTTTGTTCTAGGTGAAAATGAAGCAAGAGGCTTCTAGTAGCACTGAAAATATCAAAGATGGTTCGTTGGAATACTCATACATGGATAATGCAGTTCCAGAATATGAACCAGAGGATGAGGATCCTAAAGAAGACCATGAAGAGGTTCCTCAAGAAATCCTGGAGGAGTTATGGATTCTGGACCTGAGTCATAATCTTTATTTCCCACTGAACCCCTCCGTACCGAACCTCATTTGGTCTGTAATGATTCACTAGATCTTCCCAATAAAACCAAAGTAGAGGAAGGCGAGGAGGTGGATTAACTCTGTACCCCTGCTTTAGCTATGAGAATAGCTGAAAGAGATGCAGCTAAATTGACGAACATAAAAGGCATCAATGGTGTGCTCGCTAGCTACGTCCATTACATGACTGATAAGAAGAATACAGAATTCTACCTAAGAGTCATAATGGAGTACATAAGAGCAATAAGAGTTAGAGGCGGACCTAAAGGTAAACCCATAAGAAAGTCTTACTGGATTTGGGCCATAGAGCTAGTGTCCTCCTTTATGAACAAAACGCGCAAACTTAGAAGCCTAAGAAAAGCAATGCTTGATTACCTTTATGTTCATATCAAATGATGTAATATTTGTATTTGCCTTAAGTTTGTGGTTTCATGCATTGTAAATAGACTAAGTATGTTATTTCATTTAATGAAATTACATGAATTATTGTTGTATGATTATTTGTGAATATCATGTGTATGCCTTTTATAAGTGGGAGCTTTTAGAAGATAAGACTTCTAAAGGTTACATTTCTTAAAGTGCTTATATAGTATTCTTGATAGAATATAATGATAATTACTAGTATCTGTGTGATGGGAGGTACAAACGTATTCTCCTGATCATAGATCTAGTAATTTCATTATTTACTGATCGAGGATAATATAGGCACATTACATTGTATACTTCATTGTGCTATATAATTGAAATGTTCTTTGGTTCGGTTCTCTTTAAAGAGAACATAGATTAATGTGGGATAGATTTGTCACAGAACTAAGAATGGCAACCAAGAACATAATTGCTGAATTGAACAAGGGAGAAAAGCTTAACGGGGACAACTGGGACATCTGGCACCGAAAGGTCCAGTATATCCTAGAAGAACAGGATGCGATAGAGCCTCTCACCACTGCTATGGTTGAACCTGAAGCTGGCAACACGGCCCAGCACAGGAAAGACCAAGAGGCATATCTAACCTGGAAAAAGAAGAATAGCATAGCAAGAATCACACTTTTGAGCTCCATGGCTGACGACCTGATGTGCGAGTTTGAGTCGTATAAAACTGCACAGGCCATGTGGATAGCATTAAAGGATAAGTTTGGCGGTGTCTCTACGACCAAGCTTAGGAGGTTGACGATTAAGTTCGATACCTATAAGCTCAAGCCAAACAATCCTATGAAGCAACATCTGAGAGAGATGGCCAATATGATCCGAGAACTGAAGGAAGCTGGACATAATCTGTCTGATGAACAGCAAGTGCAGGCTGTCATCAGGTCACTCCCTGCAAGTTGGGAGCACATGAAAGTCAACCTAACCCACAATGAAAACATCATCACTTTTAATGATGTAGCTAAGCATCTGGAGCTGGAAGATGAACGTCTAGAGGCTTACAAGAGCTCTGGACAAACTTATTTAACTGAGGATGCTGGTACTTCCCAATCTAAGCCCAATTTCAAAAAGGGCAAGAAGCCCCAAAAGAAAGGGAAGAAGGGCGGTCCTCAATTTAAAAAGGGCAAGAAACAATTTAAGAAGAAGGGAAAGAAAGGCGGGAAGAAGAAGCTAGACCTGAAGAAGGTCAAATGCTTCGCCTGCCAACAAATGGGCCATTTCGCACGTGACTGTTCCAAACAGGCTGAAAGCGAAAAGGTATTAGTGAATTATGTGAATTCACATGTTTCATATGTTTCTAGTACTGTTTTTCTAACAGAACCTGTTTCTTCTTCTTGGATTATAGACTCAGGCTCCACAGACCACGTAAGCAGGGATCGGGGATCCTTCGTGGAATACCGTCGGTTGCCGTATCAAAGCAAGTGGCTTTATGTTGGGAACAATGCGAGAATCGAGGTTCGAGGCATTGGCACCTGCAAGCTTGCTTTGCGTGGTGGAAAGACCTTGATACTCCATGATGTGCT